CTGATACCATCAGAGAGCTGCTCACCCAGTAGCAATGGGCTCTGCAGCTATTGTTATCATTGACTTTTTTTTTTTTTTTATTAGGAGCATGAGTAAAGCAAATTCTGTTCCAAAAATGCAGGGGAAATAGAGGAATGAAGAGGAGAGGCAGCAAGCAGGAGGCAAACACAGGGCATGTCTTTTCAGTCAGTATCTGCATTACTGGTATGTCTACAGAGTGCTGGGCAGAGGCAGTGATTCACCTCAGAGCCACAGCCTCCTTGGCCAAACCCTGCTGGGCCAAGCCTGGCTGAGGCAGCCTGACCAGCCCCAGCCTGAGCTGGTGGATGCTGAGCTACATCTGCACATACCCACAGGGGTAACACCTGCAGAGCAGGCTGTGGTGGCTCCACAGATCCTCTCAGTTGAAATGGTAGCGACTGTTGAGGTTTGAGGGGTCTGGTCTGTGAGTAATGCTGCAGTTTGTCTGTGAAAATCCATGCTGTGGAGATGTGATGGTGCAGCTCTTGAGTCTCTCATTTCCTCAGGTGCAGAAAACCTCACCTAACTTATGTGTTCGGTGTGGAGGCATTAAAAGGCAGCAAGAGCAGTCACACAGCTGTTCATGCCACACTTGGCAACGTGGCAAAATAGTTTCCCTGTTCCACCCAGCAGTGGATTTAATTGTAACTGTAATGATGGCAACTGCAATGAGTTTACAGGTGTAAATTAGAATTTCCCACTGTGTTCCAGTGTGGATGCTCTCGTGGGACAGATCACTTAGGCAGTTTGGAAAGCCACCTCAGAACCTTTCAAAGGACTCCTCAACTGTGAGGCTGCTAAAGCAGCACCATGTCACAGACAGCCTGGTTGGGATGAGAGATGCTGGTGACTGAGATTCAGAAGCAGGAGCTGCAGTCAAGAGGTGTTTGGATGAGGTCCAGGCTGATGAGCTCTGGCATTGTAAAGCAGCACATCTGATGGCTCCCAGTGCAAGTGCAGTCCTGCTCAGCTGGTTTGGGCAACCACCGCAGTGGTGGCTGGTGACAGGCAAGATGGCAGTGATAGCTGTGTGGCAGATAAGTGTGGAATGCTCTTTCAGTTAATGGGAAAATGATGTTTTCCCTAAGTCTGCCAAGAAGACACTAGTGCTAGATAGGGAACCAGTAAATCTCCCCATGATGTCAGCAAACAGGTGAGTCATGCATCTGTGATGGACTCAGTGGAAGCTTTGTGCTCCAGAATAAAGGGATGTTGTAACTGTAAAAAGCCAAGTTAAAAGTGGAACTTCATGTCTGTTTTCCTAGTATTCACTACTCTGGCATTTCTTTCTTTTTGCAGGGAAAGACCAGCTGCAATTCCTATAGAAATCAAAAGTATTGATGATACTTCCAACTTCGATGAATTTCCTGAGTCTGATATTTTACAGCCAGGTGAGACTCATTGTAGATTCCAAATCTGTCGATGACATGCCAGAAAACTCCACAGATGCTTTTGCTGTTCTTTATATTCAATTTTCTAATACCCTAATCAAATTAGTCTCTAGATCAAGTCTGTATATTTTCTTTGAAATACAACTGTAAACCTGTGATCTCTCATAGATTCTACTTCCTTAGAATCATAGAGGGGAAAAAAAGAAGTCCAGAGATTTTAAGAGTCCAGGTGGTTTGCATAGTGAGCATAGGAAGCAATAGTTTTCTGCCATGCAGTTTGTCTGACCAGGTTCTGGTAAAACACTATGCACTGATATGCTTTTCATCTTTTATGGCTTTTGAGTTTCATGCCAGACATCGTTGTTCAGACATTTGTGGGTTAAAGTTTTCCGTGAGGTGATTATTTAACATAGTGATTGATGAACCTGAGTGGCTCTGTAAATCACTTTTCTTTTTTAATTGTTGATTTCTATTGACAAGTAATAGGAAATTTGTAGACATAAGACTTGATTCTCTGACATAGCAAATTCTCCCACTGTTTTCAGTTACTTATGGCTTGAAGTGTTTACCAGTGATTAACTGCTGAGTGTAGCTGTGCTAACAACCAGAAGCATCAAAAAGCAGGGATTTTTTTTTGAAATGGCTTTTATTTAATGGCAAGTTTGTCTTAATGCAAAGCAATTAGTCTCCAATGCCTAAGGAAAGCTGTGTAAGTCCATATTTGGATAATGCCAAGAGCCTTTGTATTGTTATGGGATTTCCAGCCCACTGAAGATGGTGCTGTACATGTAGATAATCAGATACAAACTTTGCTATTAGTGTGTTCAGCATCTTGAGTTGAAAATACTGTTATGGAAGTATAAAAGCAGCAGCCAGCGAGCTAAATATAGAAGCTCACTGCAGTGACTGTCAGTGTGCAGTGTGCCAGCCACGTGGGCTGCTCAGAAAATGAGGCTGTACCAGCATTCCTGAAGCTCTGAGCAGGGAGGAAGTCCTTGGAGACCAACATGTGCATGGTGTGTGCAGTTCCCTTGGGAGGATTTGGCTGTACCTTCTGTTTCTGGTGAGGATAATGGGATGTGTGTACCTGCATTTGTTGTGCTTGGAGCATTGCAAATGTTGTGTGGATTTAAGTGTCTATCCTGTGGGTGTGCTAGAGGCTCCTGTCAGGGTATGGGAGCCTGGTAGAGTGTGGAGACAGACTAAAAATACCCAAAGCAAACCAAGAACCCACCCCTTTTTCTGCTTCAGAGTTATATACTCATATATATTCCACATAACTCTTCTCAGACTGTTGACAAAAGACAACTGACTTTATTAGGAGCAGGATTTCTTCCAGGAGTTTCTGCTGGCTAGGGAGATAAGAGTTCAGGGCTGTTGATGTCAGTGCTCTGTGCAAAGCCCTCTGAGCTGCAGTGCTGTTTCAACTGCTTTGACACATTTGCGTTTGTTTCTGAACTGCAGTGCCAAACACAACGGAACCCGACTACAAATCCAAAGACTGGGTGTTCCTCAATTACACCTACAAGAGGTTTGAAGGGCTCACACAGCGTGGCTCCATCCCCTCCTACATGAAAGCTGGGAAGTTGTGAAAGTGAAACCCACAGAAGGAAACTGCAAACCCAAACCTCAGGTAGCTGCATCACCAGACCCGCTTGGCGTTAAGTTAGCGATACATCGACTCTGGTGCGCATCAACTTCACAAGGAAATTCCTACAGGATTAGGATTTCTAAGACTACTACAGGAATTAGTTGGCAGTGCCAGCTGGCTTCTTTTTTCTTTTTTTTTCTTTTTTTTTTTTTTTTAAATATTTGAATATTTTTGTTAACTTTATTATACAAAGGTACTGGAATAAAAGGAACCTCCATCCCTTTGCCTGCACTGCCTATGTGTGTATAAGGGTTAACGATGCCTCTCTGTACTGTGGCTTTTGTTTGTACTGTAAACCATCTAATCCACCCAGGAGTGAAACATATCATTTGACACAGCATTGTTGTACTACTCACCTGGTGTGGGGTTTAGATACACAGTATAAAAGAAGTAGCCCACATTTGCAAATTCTCTGAGCAGCTGCTCGAGGTGTCCCATTTGTGGCCTGCAGACACCCTGTGAGTGGAGCCACATGGAATTGTTTTCAGTAGCAGTGTCCTGGGGCTGACTTGTGCCCTCACTTGTGCCCTCACTTCCCTCCACTGCAGGACCTGATCAGCTCATCATCCTTTCTCCTTCCCTTCCCTTTTCCCACAAGACAGTCCCTGTGATCTGTTTAGTGATGTTCCTGCTTTAAGTGGCAGTTGGTATTGCTGTTTAAGGTGGTGATGCCTGTTGGCAGCTTCAGAAGAGTAGAGGAATCTGATTAAAAATTATCAAGATTTTTATCAGAAGGAAAACTTCCTGATACCAAGTTTCTGGCAGTTTCCAGGACTGCACTCCTGCCTCTGCTCTAAAGCAGATCATCTTTTCGCTAGTCTTAATTTGAATCTCCTTTTCTCCCTGTGCAAAATGTATTCAAGAATAGTGATCAAATTGGTGCTTTTTCATTTCTTGTCTCCCTGAGAAGTTCCAGGTAGAAGGGATCCTGCTCTGGCCTTTTCTTTCCAAGATAACCCATAGCAGCCTCTGCCTACCTAGAGGAAATGGAGTGTCCCACTAGACTCACTCTCCTGGTGGGCTCCAGCTTCTTCCAGTATCTCCATCAGATGTGGCCATGGGATTACAAAGGATCAGCTGAGCCTGCAGCCCAGTTTCCAGGAGCCATCTAAATGCTGTTCTGCAGGATGGTGACAAACTGGGAGCCAAGGCAGATTTCCTCCCCATCCCTGGAGGTTTTCAAGATGAGACTGGATGTGGCACTTAGTGCCATAGTCTAGTAACCACAGTAGGGTTGGACTCAGTGATCTTTGAGGTCTCTTCCAACCAGGCTGATTCTATGATTCCCTTGGGCAGAGGAAAGTGAAGCAGAAACAGCTCCATGTGCAGGGTTTGGTTTTGTTCATCAGTCCAACAGCAGTTCAGGACTGAGTTGTACTCCTCAAACACTTTCACAATATCTTGCAGGTGAATTTTTCTCTCCACCTGCACTAGCATAGCTGCAGTGCTTTGAACCCATCCAGCTTATACGGTGTTAGATCAGAACAAAGCAAAGCTAAGCTGTGGCCTGAGTACTGTACTTGGGTGGGAATAGCTCAGTGATCTCCCAGATATTCTTCTCAGACCTTAGAATAATTAAGGCCTCTTTACTGCTGATGGGACAAAATTTCTCCAGTGTTGTTCCTAGCCTTGTCAGTGTGGTGAAGCTCAAGTTGTGACCATCCAGTACTGTACAAAAACAACAACTCACATAAAATCCACCTTTTAGGCTTTATTCTGCCAGTGCCCCAACAGCTTTGGAGGCCTCTCAGGAGAGGAAATGCGTTTTCTAAGGCTTTCAGTTCAAGACAGAAGAACTCAGGCAGAAAATATCCAAGATGCAAACTTGGCCTCCAAGGACACTGCTATTCAAAACAGAATTTTCATTGGGTTGAATTTCCAGGCTCATTCCTGGGGCACAATGTGCACTGGAATTGGAATTCCTGCAAACAGCACCTTTCAAAAGACCACAGTAACCCTAAAAAGTCTTTGCTTGAACTTTGCTAAGACAAGTGTCATGGAAACTGCAAATGCTCAGTAATACCTGGTGATTTTTTTTTCCTGTGGGGCTTGGGGGAGGGCAGATAAATACACACTGAATTTAAAGCTAAATGAAAACTATCTATTAAACAACTGTCTGTACATACTCACTGGTTTACAGACTCGGGCGAGAGCTCAGCCCGTCTCTTTGTAACACTAATACTCATGTAAAACTGCAGATGATTAACCATATCAGCGCTCACATAGGAGTTACAGCCGTATGGACACAGCCTGCAGAGCCTATCTAGCATAAACTCCTGTATCGTGGTAGTTGATTTTTACATTTTTTATTTTAAACATAGAGTTATTTTAATCAGTAAAGTCAAGTTAAACAATATTAACTACTGCTTTTAGGATGATAGGGTTTTTTTAAAGGTGAAACTGTGACACTGCAATGGATTGAAGAGAACAGCAGGTTAATCTACACTGGCTTACAACAGCAAATGGAAGTGCAGCATATCTTTTGTTTTGTTATTTTTGTCTGATTCCTTTGGATGATTGTGTGTTTTCCTTTGGAGATTGTAACTGTGCCATTTATTTTTCTTATTCTTGGAGTACCAAAGATCCTGAAATGGCTTGATGATTGCAACCATGTGAAAATTTATTTTCTGGAAGTCTGTTTTGTTAGAACTTTTGTTAAAAATGTAAATCGTGTATGCAAATTGTTATCAGAGGTTTGCTGGGAAGTTAACCTATTCCAGCAGGGAAAACTCGAATACAGTGATGGAAGTGGAGAGCCTGAATCCAAATTGTGGATCTGAATACCCTGAAACAGGGGAGGAAGCTTGGATTGGGAACTGCAGCTGAGCTTTTGCACTTGGTTCCATCTTCAATCAGCATGAGTGAGTGGCCTTAGGTACAGGACATCAGCAGAGGTTTGATGTGCAAAAGGAGTTACAAAAAGAAGTTGCCAGCATTCAGACATCACATCTTGTTGATCTGCATTTGCACTGTTAAATTTGCCTTGCTGGAGAGTTATATAACTGTTATTTTTATAGGTCAATTGTTAAACACCTGAGCTGTTGGACACAGTATGGAATAATAGCACCTGACGTGGGTGAGGTCACCTGAGTGCAGCAGAGCCTGCTCAGAGCTCTCCACACACGAGCAGTACCGAGGGGGTTGTGTCTTTCCTCCTCTGCCACAGCCAGCAGGGAATGCTGCAGTTTAAGCCCAGTTCTGCTCTTAATGCTTAGGAAGTGCTCCCACTTTCCCAGTAACACGAGCAATTACAGGCATTGTAACATACTGTACCTTGTCCTTCTAACGTTGGGATCTCACAGCAGCTCCTTCTTGGAGGTGAAGTGGCAACTGCTCTATTTTTCCTAGATTGTTTCATTAGTTGTGGTTGGGAAAGTTACATAGAAGCATTATAAAAATTTATATGAGGCTTTTTACAGCATTTGAAAATAAAAGTAGCATTCTTTTTGTAAGGCTGTGGTCTCGTTTCTTTCACACTGCTCTGCTGGGTTTCTCTGCCAGAATGAGAGACATCTAAGGAATTGAGGCACGAGTTGTGGATTCTCACATTGAATTCCCGTGGACAATGCAGATCCCAGTGTTGCTGCTGTCAATCTGAAAGTCAAGATTGCAAAAATTGCTTGACTTGTACCACCTACATCTAATTCCCAAATGGTTCCTGCTCTTCACAAGAGTCTTATCTTCCCTGTAGGCTGTAATTTATCCAAGAAAGGCTTCCAGGGCTAGTTGTGTCCTTTGATTCAGTATAAAGACAGCTTTATTCTACTGTTCCCTGGTCCTTGCTGAGTTCAGAGCAGTGGCAGCAAATGCAGTTGTGAAATAGTCATGGGAAAAAATGCTTAGAGTTGAGCAGCTGAAACCAAAGAGCAGCTAGTGCCTGGCCTTGTGTGGAGCCTTCCTGTGAGTAACAGCCTCCTCCACACCAGAATTCCTGCTCCTAATAAATAATGGGATTTTAATGGAATTTTACCAATTCTATTCAATGGGATTACCCTTTTCTTCCCTTAGTCATACATGATTGTGTCTCAGACCTACACATAAAGAAACACAGGCTTGCTTCTCAATCTCCTTGCATCACCGAGTGCAGAATTCCTCACAAAAGCACTTTGATGGGGAATTCCAAGGCTATGCCCTCAGCATGGTTTATAAAACATGCTGCGACTATCTGTGCAGTTTTCATTCCTTGTAAAAAGTGTGCTTTGTACCTAAGCAAAACAATTATGCTTGGGCAATAAAAGGTCTTTTCTGACAATCTTCCTATGGAAAGAGAAGGGAGGAGTAGCCAAAACTGTCTGTCTTGGGAGTGAGGACAATAGTAGTTCCTAACTTTGGACTAGACAAGGACCTATTTGCTGTTCAGGAAGTACTGAAGGTATTTGTAAACGTAAAGGACTGTCAGGCATTGGATCAGGCTGCCCAGGGAGGTGGTGGAGTCACCATCCCTGGAGGTGTTCAGGAAACAACTTGATGTGGCACTTAGTGCCATGGTCTAGTTGACAAGGCTGTGTTCAGGCAAAGGTTGGACTTGATGATCTTGGAAGTCTTTTCCACCCTGAATGATTCTATGATTCTGTTTCTCTAGAGCCATGTTATTTATCAGAGATGTGGATTTTAAATACCTGAAATGCCTGTCCCGTGGCTGAATTTCAGGATGAAAGCGGGTTCAGATGTGGGTGCCAGCAATCCCTGTCAGCTGTGCTGGGCTCAGCCCTGCCAGGCTCTGCCTAAAAAGTGTCACTGAATGGTCCCAAGTGGAAGTTACTGTGTATATGATACAATGGACTTACTCTGACAGTAGTGATGGCACTAGGGTTTGTATACTACATCCCACAGGGACACTTCCACAGTCAGTGTGAGAGGAAATGAAACTTTACACATGCAGAGAGAGCTCAACTCCTGCTCCTCCTGCCACTGCTCTTGGGAGTATTTGATACTGAGGAG